GGCATGTGGGATCTTCCCGGCCCGGGGCACAACCCCGTGTCCCCTGCATCGGCAGGCGGACTCTCAACCACTGCGCCACCAGGGAAGCCTTCTTTTCTTCTTTATAAAGTTGCTTTCACTTTTTCTGTTTCTTGGAATTCATCCCCTTTCAGCCCTGGCTATGATGTAGGACGAGTCCACCTGCCCCTTCTGGTTGTCCATGAAAATGAACTTTAAGCCCTTTGCTTTTCAGAGATTTAATTGTTGATCATAATGGACAAAGAGGAGATGCCAAAAGGTAGCAAGCATGGGAAACTTTGGCAGATTCAGAGTCCTTGGTCCTGAGTCCAGGTGTCCAGAAACTTCTTATGGAAGGTGCTTGGTGCTTGTTCAAGCTCATGAGGATAGGCTTGTGTTGGCTGCACTGCCAACTCTGTAGATATTTTTTCAAGGCTTGGATGACTTGTTCAAAACAACGTTTTAGAGTATGAATTTGACTGTGGGACATCGAGAAGTCCCTGGTGGGAAACTTGGGTTTAAGGAATAATTTCTTGAACTGGGATGATGGGTATGGGAATGGGAAGGAGTGAATGTGAGAGGTACCACAAGGTAAGAATGGAAAAGATTCTGACTCCCTTCATGGATTTAATAACAGCTTTGAATTTGAGTGACTAGGGTAATGTTATTGTTATTGTTGAAAGTAAGGGTTATGACTGTTGGTTTGGAGCAAAAGGTATGGTGATGTTTAGATAGAACTGTCTAGCAGGGAGATGAAATTTTGGGGCTGAGATACAGTCATCTTTACTGCAGTGGGGCAGTGTCCTTTCTTATGTGTGTTGTACACTGTATCGTAGTAAGTCCGAGATGTTAACGCTATTCTTTGGCCCTGGCCTTATGGCCTCTTTCTGACTGTTTCTACACAATATGATCAGTGGGATTGGTGTTAGTGCTGGGCTCCAAAGCGATCAGGCAGATTAACATGAAAGAATTTAGAGGCCTTATTCCAAGGGTTTGCTCTAAGTATAATTTCTGTGCATTTGCAAATGTAGCCCACAGTAATTCTTCACTGAACTAGGACCTTCAGGTTATTGAATTTTACTGCATTTGGGTGCTTAAATGTGCTTTCAAGAAGACATTAGGTTTTCTGCAGTGTAGATTCTACACTAACAACGTAATTCATATTTGAGAATTTCAAATCTAGTATACTGTGTTCAACTAAGCTGCTTCCATGCCACAACTCATCTTCTGTCTAAAATCTGTGACAATGAACACTGTCACACCATCAGGATCATTGGCATTTTAGCGTGTGGAATTTTCTTCAACACCCATTAAGTTTTTAGGTGCCGAAAGTTAGAAAGAAACAATTACTAGAGCTTTTAGGAATCTGCCGTGGGGTCACACAGAAGGTTTAGTTTTTTTCTGGAAAGGAAGCTTGGGAAAGGGATACTAGGAAAGTCTAAGGTAGGGAGGAGGAGGGAGTGTGTGTTACAGCAGTTCTGGTCCTGGTGTGGTAGATGGCCTTACATCACAAATTCTTCCATGAAACCGCTACCAGTAAATCCTAGTGTTAGGAGTCCAGAAGGGTCCATGGGGAGAAAATTTCAGGGGCTCCCTTGCTGGTGTTGGACTGGTCAGACAGTTGTGGTTAGGTATT